ATTAATATTACATTTTATTTGGAAAACAGTCAGAAGTCAAGATAATATTTTCTTCTGCCTCAACTTAGTAATTTTGATCTTTACAAATTACAAACGTAGTAAACACTTTTATCAATAGTTATTTATTGCCAAATCAACCATTTTGTTGCACAACAATGCTGTGTATTTGTTTATTTCATGTCTGAAGCGGTAGTGTTGGTTTAAAATGTCGATTCATCTTCCTGGCAGATGTTCATCTCAGTGTGGAAACATTTTCTCGTTTATCTCTCGGGTTCTTTGTAATCCTGACTTAGAAGACAAAACATAATATTGGTCAATTCTACATGACGGAAACAGTCAGTGTGAGAACACATTCAAACTAGCTTTGAATAAACCTGAGAAAATTTCTTAGATATTAAATGTTTTAATAGAAATAGAAATCCCTTAATGTCCCACAGATGCTTGTAAGAGTCCAGGACCTCTGCGTTCACTCCCTGGATGTTCGCTGGTGTTGGTTTTCATCCTGAAAACTGTGTAAAATTATTTTCTGGAAATACGAGACTACATTTTCTCACTACATACAGGTCATTACATCATTTTACTGGGAATTGGTTTTATTCTTATTTGTTTTCTCTTTTGTGGTTTTGCATTTTGGTATTAGTTCACTCTTTCATTTTACTCAGTAAACTAGTTCTGAGTTAAAATGACACAGTGTTAGGTGAACAACGTGAGGAGGGGGCTCAGCACACAGCTCTGTGGGACGCCAGTGTTATTTCACTTATAACAACACTTTGTTCCCGTGTTATAAGTTAAATGATCTGCCAAGTATTGAATTATTGAATTTCAATGAACAAAAATATATATGCCTCATGTCAAATATAAGAGTTTTATGAACATTTAGGTTATGCAATATATAGAGAAACTCAAAATATATTTTCAGTAATTACTGATCTTCATATCAGCATTGATTTCATCGTGGTTCGGCCGTTTGCAGCAGATTGACAGTCATGATAGGGGTCAGGTT